CCCCCCCCCCCCCTCCCTTCAAGACCCAGATTCCCTGAGTTATATATATTTAATTCCCCTTTATTTAATATTTGTAACATTTGTTTATTCGAGCTAACGATTAATAATGAAATAGAAAGGTCTGAATATATTTTATTAGAAATCAGACTTTAAGTAATGTTAAGAACACTTGAATTGGACTTTAAAAATTTACTTCACATTTAAGAAAATTTTCCCCTGTTTTGAAACCATTTTTACTGGAATAGTTTTATTTTATGTATTTTTAATAACTAAACACGCAACTAATGATTGACTTGCTTTTTGTAAATTATAAATTAAATACATGTGTATGTATATATCTCTAACCTACTCTTAATCCAACCTGGATACCAAGGTATTCTTTACCTACTCCTAACCCTACCTGGATACCTAGGTATACTCTACCTTCTTCTAAACTTACCTGGATACCAAGGTATTCTCTACCTACTCCTAACATTACCTGGAAACCCAGGTATACTCTATCTACTCCTAAACTTACCTGGATACCAAGGTATTCTCTACCTACTCCTAACATTACCTGGAAACCCAGGTATGCTCTATCTACTCCTAAACTTACCTGGATACCAAGGTATTCTCTACCTACTCCTAACTTTATTTGGAAACCCAGGTATATTCTACCTTCTCCTAACCCTACCTGTATACTTAGGTATACTCTACCTACTCCTAACCCTACCTGTATACCCAGTTATATTCTACCTACTCTTAACCCTGGATACTCTGGATACTCCTAACCTTTATTTCTAGGTTACCTAATTTCCTGGCGGATCCTAACCAAGGAGATGAACCTATGCCACACCATAGGTTTGTAGGCTATAATTTGTATTATTATTTTGAAAATCCTCATTATTATCATTATTATCATTATTATCATTATTATCATGTTTTTCATCATTATCTCCATTTTTACCATATTTTCATATCCCTTCCTCACATTCTTTCCTGCTTTCCTTATCCTTCCATTTCTTCCCTTTTTCTTCACCGCCCCCCCCTCCTCCCTTCGTTTCTTTCCCTCTCACCCGATGCTCCCCCCTCCTTTTTTTACTCTCTCATTCCCCCTTCGATGAAAAGAGCTAATTAGGTTCTCTTAAAACATTATTTAATTATTTTTCTTTCAAAAATTCTTCTTTTATTATATTCAGGATTGTCGAAAATATGATAATAATCGAACATTATAAAAATTTAAACAATTGGCTCTTACANAATAATAATAATAATAATAATAATAATAATAATAATAATAATAATAATAATAATAATAATAATAATAATAATAATAATAATAAAAATAATAATAATAATAATAATAATAATAATTCTTATTATTTAAGGTGTACTATTCATATGAACTGTGAGGAGAGTGAAATGATAAATGTTGCCTATCAGGTTAGAAATATTTATGTTTTAATGATTTAATAAAATAATAATTTTGACCTGAATAAGTGCCGCCTGGCAAAGTTGTAAAATTTTCTGCGGAATTAATGTTACGGCTTTGCGACCTAGCAACTCCCCTCGCTACTCATTTTACATACAAGACTGGACAGATAGCTTATTTGGTTGTTTATAAGGTTTGAATAGTTTTTTTATCGATAAATATTTTGAAAAATATGAATTTTTTCAAACATGAAAGATTACAATTTAAAATGAAACAAACTTTGGTAACGAAGTACCAACATCCAAAAAGTAAAAAAATCATTTTCTTTTTATTATTTATTTGCTACGGGTAGTACAAGGATAGCAGGGTGCCAGGATTTCTGGCTTAATTTCTCAAGGTCCTGTTTAGCACTGGATGCTGGATAATTAACTAGCTCAGGGTTGGTTTTTGCATAGGAAGGAAGGATGAAGTAAATACCAGGAATCGTTTAATTTTAGAAATAAATTCTAAAATTTAGAACAATTGACAAAACAATTTACTTCTTTATGTTTTATATTTACAATGTAAAAATGATTATAAAATGATAGTGAAAGGAATTGAGTCTTTGGAACAATATCAAATATTTAAACTTAAATATCTTTAGGACTCGATGTTGTAAACCTTCAATATTTCAAACTCAGATTATTTGATCTAACAGAATTCATAGTTTGAAATATCTAAGGCCTGCAACATTTGGTTCCAAAAATATAGTGATTTGAAAATCAGAGTTTGTGGCAAAGACTCAATTCCTTTATTTCAAAATACAACATTTAGTTTTTTTATATAAAATTATATTCTGTTTCAGGATGCAGTGGAGGGAAGGTTTTCCAAAGCTCCGATGATTGAAATGACTCTTCCGTCCTCCCTAGACAAAACTATATCTCCTCCAGGTACAATTTTCTTATTCATTTATTCATTCATGCATTTAATAATTCATCCTGTTCATTCAAGCTATATATATAAACAATATCGCCTCCAGAAACACATTCACCCATTCTAATGCATTCATTCATTCATTTAAGCTATTTCTAAACAATATCTTCTCCAGAAACACATTACGTTATTTTTTAGATGCATAATTCACTAATCATTCAATTCAATTTAATCTAATTCAATAATTGAATTAATACTCTATTTGTATGCAGGCAGCCATGTTTGTTTGTTGTTTACCCAGTATGCCCCGTACCAGCTTAAAGATAGAGTCTGGGATGAAGAAACTAAAGAAGAATACGCAAACATCGTCTTCGATTCAATAGAGCAATATGCTCCAGGATTTAAGTATGTTTAATATTATTAATACATCAACAATCTGTATCCTATCTAAAGTGTGTGAGCCGGAAATTTAAGAGAGTATTTTGAACGAAACTTCCGAGGTTCCTTTTTGGGGTCTATACATTTGCGTAGATTTTAATTCAAGAAATCAGAAAACAGAAAGAGAATGTAAAGAAACCACACATGAAATATTGGTATCTACAAAACTGCCTACTGATCCTATTCATGAAATCGGTTTTCCGATACTGGGTTTCATTACGATACTCTGTCTTAAGTTTCGGCCTCTGGCATTTCCGGTGGAATCTCAAAAATCGCTTAATACTCGGCTGAAAACGAACTATCTGTCCCAAAACGCCGAAACTCAGGGATATGCCACCGATTAAATGTTGCCCAAGAGGACAAGTACAACATTTTTTTGTCTCTTAGTGTAGCGGTGTTACGGTTTGGCTATTGGTAACCCACATGAGAGGCGTACACCACTCTTTATGCCGAGTCCATTAGCGCCTGACCCAATCAGGGTTCAGCCATGTGTTTGTTGTCTATTCTGAACCAATAGAAATAATATGGCGGTAACATCTATCTTTCTATCTATCTCATTATCCAATAAGAGTTATGAATTCAATCAGTAAATGGAAATATTTACTTCTAAACTGAAACTATAGTGAAACAGGGGGGGGGGCTACATGGGCTCAGCCCCACACCCTTACTGGATCAATAAAATCTATGGTTTTCAGGTGGTTTTTAGGCTCAAAAAGGTGCCCCCTGGAAAGTAAAAAATTAAGCCTTGACCTAAATGTAAACACACACAATTTTGACGCTCATATATATATATAAGATAGCACCGCGTATTCAGGAATTTGTCCAGGGGGGGGGGCTTAAATATTTCTTTATTTCTAGGGGGCTCAGCACCCATTGGGACTGGTCCAGGGGGGCTAAGCTGAGCCCTTATAGCCACACCTGAATACGCCTCGGATTAAAACCCTTATTTTTCCATGACAATGGATCTTTACTGAGCGCATGCAAGATTTCCAACTAAAATGAAAAAAACTAAATGTGATGAAATTAACTTCCCTCTTAGACGTCAGTTTATAACTCAATCTCCTCTATTTTTATAGTTTTTCTGTCGCTTTCTGAATAAAGGTTTCCAGTGTCTAGCTGATTGTTAATGACATTCCTGATATTATTCATAATTAGGTCAAGGATAGTGATAATTAGGTAGGTAGGGGGGAGGAGGCAGGAAATTATATTTACACAATAGGTAATAGAATACAAAGTTTAGGAGGAGAATACAAAGTTTAGAAGGAGAATACAAGGTTTAGGAGGAGAGTACAAGGTTTAGGAGGAGAATACAAGGTTTAGGAGGAGAATACAAGATTTAGGAGGGGAATACAAGGCTTAGAAGAAGAATACAAGGTTTAGGAGTAGAATACAAGGTTTAGGAGGAGAATACAAGGTTTAGGAGGAGAATACAAGTTTTAGGAGGAGAATACAAGATTTAGGTGGAGAATACAAGATTTAGGAGGAGAATACAAGATTTAGGAGGAGAAAACAAGGTTTAGGAGGGGAATACTATGTTTAGAAGGGGAATACAAAGTTTAGAAGGAGAATACAAGGTTTAGGAGGAGAATACAAGATTTAGGAGAGGAATACTATGTTTAGGTGGGGAATACAAGGTTTAGGAGGAGAATACAAGGTTTAGGAGGAGAATACAAGGTTTAGGAGGAGAATACAAGGTTTAGGAGGAGAATACAAGGTTTAGGAGTAGAATACAAGGTTTAGGAGGGGAATACAAGTTTAAGGAGGAGAATTCAAGGTTTAGGAGGGGAATACAAGGTTAAGGAGGAGCATAAAAGGTTTAGGAGGGGAATACAAGGTTTAGGAGGAGAGTACAAGGTTTAGGAGGAGCATAAAAGGTTTAGGAGGAGAATAATATGTTTAGGAGGAGAGTACAAGGTTTAGGAGGAGAATAATAGGTTTAGGAGGAGTAATATTGATTTGGGAGGAGAAATAAATGATTTGGGAGGAGAGAGAAATAAACGATTTGGGATAATTGGAATAAGATCTGTTTTGGTTCAGTATTGGTACATCGTTTCATTTCTTTATCTTAAATATTTCAGATCAAGTATTGTTGGAAAAGAAGTTCTTCCTCCTCCAGATTTGGAGAGAATCTTCGGTCTTACAGGAGGTAGGTATCTTCTCTTACAGGAGGTAGGTAGGAGGTAGGCATCTTCTTCTCTTATAGGAGATAGTTATCTTCTTTTACAGGAGGTAGGTATCTTCTCTTACAGGAGGTAGGCATTTTTTCTCTTATAGGAGGTAGGCATCTTCTTCTCTTATAGGAGATAGTTATCTTCTTTTACAGGAGGTAGGTATCTTCTCTTACAGGAGGTAGGCATTTTTTTCCCTTATAGGAGGTAGGCATCTTCTTCTCTTATAGGAGGTAGGTATCTTCTCTTACAGGAGGTAGGTATCTTCTCTTACAGGAGGTAGGTATCTTCTCTTACAGGAGGTAGGTATCTTCTCTTACAGGAGGTAGGTATTTTTTTCTCTTATAGGAGGTAGTTATCTTCTCTTACAGGAGGTAGGAATCTTCTCTTACAGGAGGTAGGAATCTTCTCTTACAGGAGGTAGGTATACTTCTTTAACCCCTTCTCTATATTTATTGCCTAGACCTACCCGATAAACTGTATCTCTATTATTACATTTTAAATCTGCATTCAAAATATTTTAATTGTATATTTTATTTTCTAACCGAACCCTGGCCCTCTCTTCAAATTCTTATCATTTACCTTTAAACCACATCTTCACGGCTCTGCATTTATTCAGTTTAGCTTCCGTCGAGATACTCCGATAGAATGGTTTACTTTCAGGAGGAGGGGNGGAGTTGGTGTCAGTGAAAACCAAATTCAATTTTTTATATTTCATTAAAGTTTTCGCAATATTTAGTAACTTGAAGTGACGTCTATTTTTAAAATAACACTTTGGTAAAACTATAAATTGACAATAAACATTAAACATAGTTATATTATATCTTTGTTTAGAAATATCCATGTATAATATTTAACTACTTTCTAAACCTGAGTTCTCTGACCTAACTAATGAACCTTCTCACCTGGTCGTATTTCTACTCGTCACATGACCTTAGCTTGGTTTGTTGCTCTGTGTATCTAGGTGTACCTAGAGAAGAATTTGGTCTGTATCTTAGTGTTGCATATAATTATCCATATGTATATATCATTAGATGAACCTATGGTACCCATAGTCTAATGTTGAACCCGGTAATATGGATGAAATAAGCATTAAAACAATTGAAAAAAAACATTGATAAATATAAACCTATCTTAGTTTTCTCGGACTAATAGTTTGAAACCAAATAAATTTTGACCTATGAAAACCTTGAACCGTTCCAACTCATCACGTTTCTCCATATCTAGGTTTGTGTTAGATGGGTATACTGTATCTTCTGCAATATCTGGAAAATCTAGTTTAAATTATTTACATTGTACATATTTAGGCAACATATTCCATGGTTCCATGTCTCTTGATCAGCTCTACCTTACCCGTCCTACTACTCAGGGTGTGTCTCCAGGTACCCCTGTACCCAACCTACTCATCTGCGGGTCCGGAGCTCATCCTGGGGGCGGAGTTATGGGAGCACCAGGACGGATTGCTGCCAAGGATGCAGTAAAGAAACTAGGAGGAAAATGGGAGTTTTCCTGAGATTAGTTGAACTGAAGATTTAGAATTTACTAAAAATATAAATTCAAAATAATAAATAAAATGGAGTTAGGTTAAATTTATTATTGTTTACGAAAAAATAATTGATGGATAGAGTTTCGAAGACAAGATCTAAGAATCGAACGGTGTCTTGCATATTTTATAAAAACTATTTTAATATCCTGTAACTATAGACTTATGAGGGCATTTGCAACAATACTTACTTCTATTTTATTCAAATCCACATAAAAGCGAAAAAAATACTAGTTACACGCAAAGATTGAGTTGGTATTTATAACCTACATTTAGTCATGCTAAATATGAAAATAAATGAGAAATCGTATTGATAATCTATTGAAATCGTATTGATAATCTCGTGTTAAATTATAATACAGCGGAAATTGAAAAGGACTAAATAATTTTAAAATCCTAGATTTCTAGATTCAATATTTTGTATTCTCCCCTTCTATTCATAAGTTTATAATATTTTTACACCGTAAACTCTTATATTTATAATACCCTTATGAATCAGAACCGAACAGATTGAGACTAGAGAGTGTAAGCCTAGCATCTGCAGTCAGAATTGGTGATTTAGCATTCTATTTTTCTATTTTTCTATTTTTCTATTCTCATCTAATTTTATTCTTTTATAAAACTCAAACATGAAAGGAAATCCATATTCTTTAATTTCAAAGTTAATGTAATGTCCATTCTTTCCATTTTCTCAACTCTAACTTTATTTTTCTCTGATGTTCTTAATTATTTCATTTTCAAACAAAACGTCTACTCTATAACTATTAACTTTAATATATGCTCCTGTATTCCTCCTTCATCTCATCTTGTATATTTACTTTATATGCTCCTGTATTCCTCCTTCATCTCATCTTGTATATTAACTTTATATACTCCTGTATTCCTCCTTCATCTCATCTTGTATATTAACTTTATATGCTCCTGTATTCCTCCTTCATCTCAGCTTGTATATTTACTTTATATGCTCCTGTATTCCCTCTATTCCCTTGTAGTGTTCTATTCCCCAATTATTCCCCTTTTTAAATGAAAATGTGGCAGTATTCCCCTTTATATTTTCTGGTTTCATAATGAAAAGTTTATTGAGAAATAAAAGCAGAAATGTTCCAGTTTCATTGATTTTCTAGATTAAATTCAAACCAGAGCTAGAGTGACGATGTGACGATGCATTCTCCACAATACACTGGTCAGTCAGGGTCATTTTATTCTATAAAAGGTTTTTCTGGCATTGATCTTAGTTTTTTCGGACATTTTTAAACTAATAACAATAGAGAAATTCGCGGATTTTCTGTTTTTAATGATGTTAAATCTTAAAACAATTTCAATAATTTTAAGGCAACTTTTTTAAAATCCGTCCGACCATCAACCTTTCCCACAAAAGATTTGGTCCGATTGGTTCCGCTGTTTCGATGATTATTAGATACAGACAAACACTAAAACATATGAAAATATTTTTAAAAAATTTTCTTTTTTAAATATATAAAAAATTTTAAATTCTGCATTAATAAACAATGGAAATCCACGAAAGTGCAGTTGTTTTAATTTCTAAATGTTCAAAAGGTACAAAAGGCTTACAGAATGATCATAAACAAAAAACTAAGAAAGATATGGGCCTAGCACCCTGTAAACCTCTAAATAGTATAATGAAAGATATTTATATAACAATTCATAACATCACTTATTGTTACAGATTAAAGCGCTGAAATGCTATTCCTGAGAAGTTTATTAAATAACGATATTTCATTCTAGAGTTTACGCTCTATGTGTTCTAAGTGCATTGAGGAGAGAATGTGTATTTAAGAAGGAAAAACAACGTATTTGGAGAAACAAAACGTGCCGGTACTCTCAGTCTATAGTTCGACCGGCCGGTGTTGCTGAGCCGGGCCGGGACAGTGTTTATCAGCTGAGCCGGTAAACTCGTCTCTCTATCTTTAACCTGACTGACTGTGATCGACCTACATAGTTATCAATTTATGCACAAACTAGTAGTTCACAGATTAGCGACATTTATACATAGTTATAGCAAATATTACAGGAACCGAGACAGGAGGGGAGTATGGGGGAAGGAGGTGGGGAGGAGGAGAGGATGAGAGGAGGATGAGGAGGAGGGGAGACCTGGGGTGAAATTAAGAAAGGAGCCACAAATGAAAAAATAACGTACTGTTCAATTCATAACTATTCACAATGCCTGCTTATAGAACTTTCTGCATTTAGTAAACCTAAAGGACCTGAAGTAATTGTTAAAACGGAAACGTTTTATGAGTATATGAGAATCAGGGGGGGGGAGAGCACTGAACGAACATTTTTGCGAGGTTTTATTTGTCAGAGTTATGCATTTTTTTAAGGGTTCTTACTCTACTTGCATTTCCTGATTCTGAGCAATACTGAGAGATAGAGAGGATATTTCGGAGTATCTGAGAAACATACAATCTGAAACTGCATTTGAGAAACAAGATATTTATTATTCAGGATGAAATAAAGGTTCCACTACGAGATATGTTTCTCTCCGGAAGAGAAACTACTTACACCAATTATAAGGAACCATGAACTATTCCACTGAAAACTCCTGTTAATTTGAAGTCCTGAGGCCGAATATAAAGAATTTGAGCCGCGGTTTAAATTTAAGCCACGGCTCAAATTTTAGTGGTTCCACTTAAATTTATATTAAATTTTTCAATATTTAAGCCGGCGCTCAATTGAAACCGGTTTTTGGGGGATTTGAGACGTGGCTTAAATTCATTAAATTCTGACACCGGGCTCACTTTTAAATTGTACAGTATACAGACTATAGACCGCGGCAGAACGTGACAGTACACTAAATAAATCATCTCCTTCTTGTGAGATTATTTCAGATTCCTAAATACAAAGCATTTCTAATAATTATTACTGTAAAGGAATTAAGTCTTTGCCACAAACTCTGATTTTCTAATCACTATATCTTTGGAACCAAATGTTGTAGACCTTAGATATTTCAAACTATGAATTCTGTTAAATCAGGTAATCTGAGTTTGAAATATCAAAGGTTTACATCATCGGGTTCTAAAGATATTGGGATTTAAATATTTGATTTTGTTACAAAGACTCAATTCCTTTACATCTTTATTTGGTTCTAAGCGATACAGACAAAATATTGAACGGAAAAAAATCACAATGTTACACAGAAACTCAACAGAAAAGGTTCAGTTCAGCATTAAATAAGATATATATAAGATATATTAAATAAGATATCCTCAAGTACTTCAGGCATAGATAACCATATCTGATGTTTAGTGTCATTTTAAGATACTTGTTTGATATTTTAGAAATCAATCAATTTCATACTATTATTCATAAAAGAACATTTTGAACACGTAAACATTATGTTATGCTGCATCTATCTTCTTACATCTAATTCATCTAATGAATGATTACTAATCTACACAAATGCAAGGTTTGTATATAATTGCTATCCCGCCACTTCTGCAACCACGTATCAAGGTCAGCTCAACTATGAAAACCATCCATTAGACCTTGTCTCATCTAATCACTGCAGATTTCAGCTGAGGAGTGGATCCGAAACCTGGAGATAAATTCGCATCGACCAGAAAAACTAATATTTAAATTATTAGGGTTTGAAGATTAATTCTGATTGACATTTGGGAGAACTTTTGCTTTCACGAAGGGTGGGGGGGAGGGGAGTGCCTGACACCTGTATTCCGTCCCAGCCCGACTCCAGGGGGGCGGACACCTGGCGTCCCGGCTCCTCCAACCCGACTCAACACTTAGTCTCAGGCAGTAGTTACACTACACCGCACCGGAAAACTTCTTCCTGTGTTAAGTGAATGAAACCGGTTTTACTCTGGTTTAAATCACATATGGAGTAAACAACCGAGTTTACATGGTTTAAATAGCTTTTAAATTGTATTAATATTGACAGGGATTACTAAATTTCCAACCCGGAGAGGTTATAACATTCCTGAGAGATGAACTAAGAATGCATGAGACATTGATAAAAAATAAATAGTTTGAATAATCAGAATTTATAACCTTCAACAGATCTGACTTTATAAAGGATATCTCTCAATTCCTTCCTGAACCTGGAACCTGGGACCTGGGGATTAAATATAAAGAATAAACTAGTTCTACCAGGTTTTGGGTTTATACAAATATTTAACGATCGACAGTTGCAATCAAAAATATATTTATAATTTACAAAACTTTACCAGAAAGTAATGTTTGCTCTTGAATTTCCCTGTATTGCTAACCATCATCATTATCAATATTTGAACACTATTAACATTATTTTTATTATTGTTGATACTATTACCTTATCTTTCAGCATGGATTTATTAGAGAATCAGTATGAGACAATAGGAATACAGTTTTTTCTTTAAATTCATATACTAGGAAACAAGTTTCAGAAATGAGGGAATGTTGACCGCATTCGAACTCTATATTGTAAACATTGCTTGAGTTTATCCCTTAGTGAGATATCTTGACAATTTTATGATTCCCTCATATTTCCAGCTGAAGCTTTATACACGGTTCAATAGTCCTCTAAACTCTCATACTTCTCACAAGTTTCTCAAATATATTAATTTCAAGTGAAAAGTATAGAATTTAAAGTGTAGAGAGTAGAATGTAAAGTGTTATAGAATATGGAGTGTGGAGACTGGAGTGTAGAGTGTAGAATATAGAGTGTAGAGTGAAGAGTGTAGAGTGTAGAGTGTAGAATGTAGAGTGTAGAGTGTAGAGTCATAGTTTGAAAATATAGAGTTGAGAGTGCAGATGCAGAGTTTAGTGTGTTTTTAACACCTGGAGTTTTAATTTCAGGCAAAACAATTAATATTGGATATGGAGACTTTAATTAAAAGAGACAATAATCAGATTTAAATTAAATTTGGTTTCATTGCTCAGGGTTTCAGACTGAGTTAGATGAAATTGACTGAAACTGGTTTAAAACTTGATAATTTGATATCGGAAGGGGTTCACTTTCTTTATTCTTTATCAGGGAACATAAGATGAAAGTTGGGTTTAAAGGTTGGGTTGGATGAGTCTATCAACCTTGAG